CTCTGCAGCTGTGCTGGTCTCTGGGCTGGCTGTCTTCTGGAGAAGTGGTGAACTGTGTCATCTTCAGCCACTAACAACCAACAGCTGCAGCACCAGCCACCGCTACAGATCGAGGGACAATGTGAAACTGATTTCCTAACACAGAGAAATAAATAAACAAAGCCCCTGGAAAAAAAAAAAGAAACAATACCACAAATAACACACAGCTTATGCAAATGCTGGTGAAATGTGTTCGCGAATCGATAAGCTCTATTTGTGTACGAAGAGACTATAGGACGAGAGTGACCATTTTACACAGAGATGCACATTACTAAGTTTGCTATTTTATCTGCAGTAGTTACCCTCAAACATCTGTTTAGTTTTTTTCTCTCTTCTACAGTACATGTTAAACCCACACGTTATGATGAAACACATAAACTGTTTGTCGAGTTGTGACATGAAACGAGTCAGAACTAGGCAGGGTGTCCGTTGCTGCCTCTACACACAAGACAGCAGATGTTTGAGGCAAAGTTTTTAGTCATTGTGGTGTGAGAGGGGTCAAACTGTCAGTAGGTTAAAGGTTGAAGAGCATAAAAAAAACAGCAGCAGCCACACAGTTAATTAGTGATGCGAGATTTATCGCTGAATGGAATATTCTGACACCGTCTTTTACTTTCGCTGCTGTTGTTTTGAACCTCATTGTAAAATATTCTGTCAAAGTCTGTTGCAAGACACAACAGTTCCTTCTTGCAAGATAACTGTTTTTTCCATGAATGAAAAATGAAATCTTAACAGCTCGTCCCATTGTTTAGCTTTTTCTCCCAGTCACCTTGTAATTGTTTCTGTGTCATAAGCAGCTATTAGTATTGCTAGAAAATGGTAATGCTTTGAGAGACTCATCTTTCCCAGAGAATGGCTCTCTATCACACTCTCACATTCTTCTAAAAGGGAAAAGGAAGATGAATTTTGCCCATAAAGGCTGTATCACAAGGGCTTTTTATCCTAAATGGCTCTGGGGATTGTTATCTGTGGGAAGTGTGTCCTGCCTCCGTCGTGTTCAATCAAGTGTCCACTTAGCTGTGACTGGGAGTAATTGTTCCCAAGTGGGCCACACACTGACCTGTTAATGTCTGCGTTGACCCTCTAACCTTGTCAGCACGTCTTGGGGAGGAGTTTAAATCATGTGGATCTCCTTCGTGTCTTTACGCTACCGGGTCAAGTGGGCGTCGGCCCTGAAAGACCACTCTCTTGTAATTGTCCCCAGCAGCATGGGTCAGCCGTGGGTGTTCCCAAAGACCGGCTCTTATTAGATGAAGGTACCAGGAGTGGTGTGACTTAATGGGTCAAGCCATTGATCCGATACAGCAGCACCAATGTCCCTCATTGCAGTCACCTGATCACTGGCTCGCTGGTTGAGGGATTGTCAGTTAGGCTGCTAGATTTTATGGATGCTGGGTCTGCAGTCTTTTGTAAATATCATCCGTTGTTTATGATTTACAGTGCTACAGGTCTCCTTCTTCACTCTCAGATTTGCTGATTTCTGACAATTTGAATAGGTTACACAAGTTTCCTATTGTAAATCATGGTACAACGTGACAACGCAGAACAAATTTAATGAAGACACCATGGTTGCATCTTCAGCATTGGTGTCCATGCAATGAGAAGCCACACACTTCTAGGTATGATGACTGACTCACTTATAGCCAGTGCCAAAATGTGACAGAGCACATCTGACTTGCATTTCTGTAGATGGTGCTTCCAGATTTGGCTTCGGCTCCTATTTCCTATGAAACATCCTTGGCAACACCAAGCGATAGAATATGAGATGCTAAGAGAGAATAATGGTGCTGCAGAAATGTACCTTTGAATGCAGACTGTAATGTAAAATAAAATGAAAGGTCTTACAAGAGCATATACTTTTAGCCTCTGAATGCACTCCGAAACATGTATGAGACAAGCAAAGGTGGGTTAGGTGCTGTAGAGGAGTCCAAAAAGGCCGTGTTTACACAACGGTTTTGTTAAAAATGGAAACTTTTTTTCTTTGCGTTTTAAAAAAAGATCAGCATACAAACAGTGCGGTGAGAATAATAAGGAAGAGAAGATGGTAAACGCGTGCTCGAATACAGATAATCTTGTGGGTTTGAAGTGGGTTTGTTACTCAGAGTGACCCTGGACCATATGGCATCCAAATTTCAAGAAAACATTGATGGGGAGTCATGCTAGTCAAACTACACGGATATGCAGGCATGTTGTCTGGCTATTTGGCTGAAATTCGTAATGGTCCTGTGCAACGTGTGGTCGTGGAATTTTTCAGATTTTTCAGGCCCACAAAACTTTGTTGTTGTGTGAATAAAACACCAACCTACAACAAGAGTTTACCGTTTTATGCAAAAAACGTTGTTGGGTAAACAGGGCCTAAAATTATTTTCAGTCATTGTAAAAACTTGCTCACTCATAATCCATAGTAAGACTAACTGCCTGATTGGTACAGTCGTACCAGAGTCATTGAGTGTATGTTTGTCAGGAGGGATAGAGCTTAAGGAGAGACAGCAATGACAGTATGCAAGAAATATTTTCATATGTTGTGTTTTAAGCGTGCAGCAGGTGGCGCGTACTGATTTATATAGCAAAAGCTATCATTTGGCACCTGACGGGTGCTAACTTCTGACCTTTCTCATACTCCTCAACAAGATGGACAGCTTCAAATGCCTGTCTAGTTTGCCTGGAAACTCACAAACGAGTGGCAATTAACACACATGCTGCAGAGTGGCTGGATGTGGAGTTTCTTCAGCAACTGACATAGTTTGTAATTTGAGTGAAAAGGGGGGATTACAACCACATGTTTCCAGAGTAGGAGTGAGTTGAGTGTCGAGCAGCTGCCATGCAAATGGCCACAAAGCGAGAATGCTTTACAGTTAGAGGTAAAAATGTTTTAACGTTGCGTCGGCATCCTAGCATGCTGTATATCTCGGGGCGTTTGGTTGTTTAGTCATTTTTATGGGCAGATTACACAATAAAACCTAACCACTTTTTAAAATCCAGTGCTTGTTAATTTGCAATAAAGGCTCAAAATCAGTGTATGCACTCCCAAGCTATTTTAACATCCCTTTTGTGAGACAGCACATAAATCTCCTTTGAATCTTCTCATCAAGAAGTTGAGTAAGCTGTATGGGTTACACGGCAGGCAGCCTGGCTGAAGTCACCCCTCTGTTGGTGATCTCAAAGTGAAGGGACTTTATAAAAGCGAGTGCTCCTTGTGAGGGGCATGGAGATACAATAGTGCAGCCATAAATCCTTGGGTGGGGAGCTGTCTTTTGGGATCAAAATATTTGTGGGAGTAATGACAGGGATGCAACCGAGTAATCAGAGGGGTCTTATCTGGGGCCGATGGCAGGCCCAGGAATGTGGACGGGCTGTGGAAACAACGGCTGCACTAATGGGGTTAGTTGAATTCCACACTGGTGAATTATGAGGAGTTGGGACGTTGGGGCTGTGGTTTGTTGTGTCTGGTTGGAGAGCTACACTGCTACACACACAAACAGAGTTATAGATTTGGTTTTTGACACGCTTTCTCACAGAACAGGCCAATTAACTGGGAGCTGAATTGCTTTGCTGTGCTGCCGGAGACAACAGCCACATTAAACAGCAAAGTGGTGCGCACATATATCACAGGGCAACAAGCCACACATGCAGCCATGACTCCTGTGACAGGGACAAAACCAGAAGCCATCCATTCTGCTGCCTCATTTGCATGATCTGAACCGTATCTGGAAGTCATTAGCATCTTTCCACTTGTTTATCTGGCTACAGATGAATGCTTTTGAGCTTATCACCAGGTTTTTGAATAAACAAAATGTCCAGCTTGCTTCAGATGTTTTTGTAGTGGTAGAAGTCATGCATCATTTATGTAAAAAAAACATTTAACATTACAAACATTTGTTTTTTTACTGATGTGGAGACCGCTGCAGGGTTTGTAGGTCACTATTATTCTTTGTATATTATTTTCTGTATTATTGTTTTAATATATTATAGTATATTGGTATCATACCATCATGTAGCTTTGTAGTGTGCTACAGTGGTTACATCACCTTTTTGTAGTAACAATCTCATTGTTTATGTTGTTGGCTTGTTACCTTTTTGTAACGTGGTATCAGTAATGTATTTAAAATGTCAGTTTTTGCTTTTTGCATGTTGGGGAACTTTAAAGGGGTTAGGGCTGCAACTAATGGTTATTTTCATTATCGATTAATTGTTTGTTGTGAAAATTGTGAAAATTGTTGATCGGACCCAAGATGATGTCCACAACCTACAGATATTCAGTTCACTGTCATAGAGGAACACATTCACATTTGAAAGGCTGAAATAAATTGGAAAGAATTTGGACATTTCTTTCCTAAAAATAACTCAAAACGATTAAACGATCGAGTAGTTGCCGAATCATTGACCACTAATCCACGGAGTGACTTTAATAGAAAAAAAGCAACTTGAAAATGCAATTTGAAGTCCTGTAGTCAGTGGAAACAAATACAGTACGTGTGGTTAAATATCTGTTTTTATTACAATTCCAGTCGACTATGACACATACAGCTATATGACAGCATGTTTTTTTCATTTGGGTATTATTACAAAGGTTCTTTAATAAGTTAATAAAAGGGCAGCTTGTGGTATTAACTGTTTTAATGTGAGAAGTGAGCCACAGAAACTGATACTAACACTTGCTTGTGTTTTACATCACACGTCCGTCATAGTTGCTTATCTGCATGTTCAGATTTGAAAGATAACTTGATATGCATGTAGGCCAGGAGATGCCAGCAGGAATCAGTGTGTCATAACATCTCAAATACTTGTGGCTGATGGTGATCACTTTTACTTTTGCCCGTCCTTATGTCATTTCTGTACATGTGGGCTCAGTGGACCAGGTTAGGGGCTTTCCCCACCATACACCATCACTTCCTGTTTGTAATAGTTGTATCTTTCCCCTTCCTTCCTTCTCTCTCTTTCTGTGTCTTTCTCTCTGTCAGTGTCCTCTGTGAAACCCCCATGGTCCTGCCCTCAAGACTGTGAGCTGAATTCTGATTGGAGGAATGGAGTGCCAATCTGCCCTACACTAGTGATCAGGGTATGTAGCAATCCTCCCACTAGGCCCGTCTCTTATTTCATACAGTAATGTGTGTGCTGTTTGTCTGTGAAGTGACTCCAAAACACGGACTATTAGGCTTATTTGTATCAAGCCATAATTAGCTTGAAGCAGATCCCAGCAGATGTATTCTGAGCTTTTCATCAGTTTAATTGTTCAGCTGTTTAGGCCAGTGAGCATGGATATGAATGATAAAGACAGCAGCAGTACAGAATTGGGCTGAATGTTTTGGGGAAAATATTGAATTGTGATTTTACTGACCAATATTGCAATCATTTTGTATAATTTACACTTTAGGCTGTATTTGTGCAGACTGGTTCCAGGCCTCTGAACTGCTGCCCACATGTCCGATTTTGCCAGTGATTTGAAAAGGTCTGGGACTGCTCTTGTGAATGGCTGTTCTCCCAGTATAGAATCAGCAGAGCCAATCAGGGCCTACTTCACAACCCCTTATCCTGGAGGTCCCGATTCAGAGCTATTAAATTAATAAGCTTAAAACATTGATATAATCTTCTTACATTCAACTAGAAGATCTTGACAGGGATTCACTATCTGTCCACTCTTAGTTGCTAACTACCTGTGTGAAAATGCTTTAATGATTATATAGTGTATTCAGAAAAATTCTCAAAATACTCACCACTCCTCAAAAATCTATTTCTGGCTAAAACTTTTACCTCCTTACAACGTTTTAAGATGACCTTGTCAATAATTGTCGATTTTGAAACTATTTTGATAATCAAGCCATTGTTTAACAATTTCTTTAAATGCAAAATTTGTAAAATGGCAGTAGTTACAGCTTCTCAAATGGGAATATTTTTTGGTTTTCTTTGTCTTCTGAATATCTTTGGGGATTTGCACTGTTGGTTGGACAACACAAAACATTTTAAGACATCTCCTTGGGCTCTGGGAACTTGACAAGTTAGTAGACCACAATTAATCAGTTAATTGAAAAGATAACTGATAGTTATTTTGATCATTGATTAACCTATTAGTTGTAGACCTATTAAGCTGTAATTAAATTTGAAATGTTACCTTTCATTTCAGATAATGTTTTGATTTAAAAGTGATCAAACATCCAGAATAGCTTAAAATCTTCCTCCTCATAGTGCATGATGAGCTCAGAATCTATTCTTTGTGATTGTATTAAAAATCCAAATGTTTTCAGTGCTTGAGGATACTTATTTATCTTTTTTATGCATCTTGTTAGTGAACTATGAATGCAGTGTGGCAAGTAGATATTAAACTGCGGTGTCTTTTTATAATATCATTTGTATGATCTTGTCATTTGGGTTTGATCTTGTAAATATGTGAATATGAAACGTACATTAGCCAACCTTTGCTGACTTAAATCGTTTACTGATAATAATAGTAATAATGATAAATACAGTTAATTGCACACCTAAAATCAATTAAACATTTGACATCTGTTGGCACACAGCGTATTGCCCTCTACCTGAATGTTGCACAGTCAGCTGCCTTGTGTTCGTGACTCTCCTTTGTTTTTTAATATCTTTGGCGTACTGTAGTCTTTCTGTCCCTCTGCTCACCTCTGTCTGCCCCGGGAGCCCTGATTGGCTGAACACTTTCTGCACTATAGTCTGGCTGCTTGCCAGCTACGCTGCCAGTGGCTGCCGTGCCCCCTGATCAGAAGAGAATGTGACATTTGTGCAGAGGTAATGGAATCTGCGTGCAATTAAATCTCTGACTGTGAAGAGGAGTCTATCTCCTCCTTGCTTCCCCCCCTCCTTCATCTCCTGCCATTGCCAGCAGCAGGGGGGGTCAGGCACGATGATGAAACCTTCCCAGCAGGCCCCTCGCCGTACTCTGTTTCCCAATATCCATGTCAGGTTGTGTTTTTTTTTACTTTGCCGCACTGGCCCTGCCTCTATCTGGCAATTAATTACAGAAAACATCCATTATGGAATCTTTTTACAATTTACAATTCTACAAGAATTAGCATTCAATTATAAAAATTACATTACAGGGCTGCAAAATTACCAATGGTTTGATGAATTCTGCTGCAGGTGACAGTTGTTATTTTGTGGTGACTGTTGTTGGGCAGTTAAGCATGTTTTGATCTTTTTTTTTGTAGGGGGAGTGGTGGAGAGCAAGACAGACAGAGAGGAAAAAAGCAAGGCAAAGGGCAGATTCATGCATGGATGAGGAGAGGGTCATATCTCTCTGCTCCTGTTTCTCTGCTGCCCTGCCACTACACTTAACGCCTCATTTGTGGGCTTTGTGGCCAATGGCTTGAGTCTCTGATCTGTTGCCATAAAAGGCAGCTTTTTCCTCTCTGCTGATGGGGCACTTGCTTGTGGCTTAATATTAGACCCCCTCTATAGGCGGACTCGTATCTAATGGATATGTGTATCCCCATCAGGATAGCTCATAAACATAAAACTCCTCTGCTGCCATTGTACTTAGTTGAGCTGGTTGGGAAGGACAGAGCCAGGAATTTCCCTTGAACTTGTGTAGGAGTGGTTCCTATCTGTGTTCCTTGTCCACACTGGGTGGACGGAGATGCAGGATATCCAGGTCAGGGTTTGGCTAAATCCTCCCTGTGTCGCTCACACCCTGCGTGGGTCTGTCTCAATGGCACATACTGGTTCATACTTCAGATCAGACACTGAACACACAATATTGAATTGGGGAAGGATGTTCCAGTTAATTTAAACAATGTAAGATAACATTTTCTCACATCAGCTTTAATGTGACTGTTTTTCTGTCACGTTCGACTCTGGTAATGTATTTTGCCACGATGAATTATTAATGTCAGCGCTGGTTGAAGGGGAGTGTTGTCTCAGAAAATAAGAGGGGTCACTCTGTTTCTTCTTTTTTCTTCACCCAAGGGTTAATTTGAACCAACAGTCAAATAAACCTCCCTATTTCCTCGCCGCACTTCGGGTCCTAATGAAAACTGCTTGGTCTTAACTTTATTCACGAACATCCTCCTGAACAAATACATCACTATTCCTCTTGGCTGTGTCTGTTTTCCTCTGTTGCAGATGGCTTTTGCTGCGTTGTGTGATACAGAGGAAAAGGTTTCGCTCGGGGAAGGAGAGAGAAAGAGGCTTACTCCATTAGTGTCATTCGAATGGTGAATTAGATCAGTCTGACAGATAGATGCGGAAAATTGTTTTAATTGTACAATTATCTGTGGCCGGCCACTTGTGCGGAAAAGTGCTGTGATGTGGGTGAATGCCGGCGAAGAGCACACTTTGGCCTTTATGTGCTTATTTTGTCTTTGTGCAGGAAATGAAAAACAATCAGGGGTCCTGAGGATAAAACATAAACACACCCAAACTCGCAGACGCTTACACTGCCCCCGGGCAGGTTGTGACATGCTCAGTGAGATGCTGCTCTTTAAAGTAATGTGTCTGGCCAGTGAGCCTTCTCCTCAGGCAAAGAGGAGAGCGCCTTTAACCGTCTGATCAAGATGGCACAACTTAACACAAATGGAACAGCTATGCAGAATGGCTCGCTCAGCACTGCTGGCGTTTTGAAGAGAGAGAGAGAGAGAGGGGCCTGATACATCAGTAACTCGCCTAATCACATTCAGCTGATTTCTGATAAGATGTAAAATGCAAGACTACGGACAGATGGCACTAAATCTTTGGCTTTATATCTGTCACTTTTTTTTTTCTCTCGCTGAAGATTCCCATGAATGAGTTTGCATGAAGTGCCTATCTCAACTGCCAATTTGGTTGGAAAATAATAATAGTTATCATCTCTTCCTGTTTCGGACAGTGAAGAGCTACTTCACTGAAACAACTTGTGTTTTGTTGTATACAGATTGTTTAACCGCAAGGCTAATTTAGCTTAGTCTTACCTCCTTCATCCTTTATCCTCAGATCATTGTTTTTATGGTTTTGAATAGAAGTAGTCTTGCGTTGCATCCTTTGCCTGTAGAATGTTGTCACTATTCAAGCAGTAAACTGCTTAGAATTAAACATTGCGGCTGTTTTAACAAAGGTTTTGTGTACGGATTAAATGGTGTAGGGTTAGAGCTGTCCTCATCTTAATCCCAGTTGACTAATGCAATTTATCAGTGAAAACAACTGACAATTGTATACAATTTATGATTCCAGTGATCATAACATTTTGATAGAAAACATACCAATGTCCATACAGAAAGCATAGATGTGGCTCACAGTCTTGACAGATCAGTTACTGAATGATTTTTCAAGCCTGGTGGGCAAGGCCGAGCCCAGGCCCAAACACTGATGCGCTGCAGTCAGCAGCTGTATGCAATTTTCAGCTCAACTCATTCAAGTGTAATAAAGCAATGCAAGAAGTGCTGGAGGAGGACTGTGGGCCTGGATTCTCTCTCTCTTGAAGGAAAAGTTGAAAAAAGAACTAGGACAACAGTATAAACGTTAAGCGGAGCTGCTACTGAATTAATTCCCCTCATTGAGGACTTGCTTCTCTGGTTTTTATCTGGTTTTGTCCATAATCAAAAACATGTCATCTGTCATCATTTGTCATCACAACATGCAGGGCTTTAATAGTTAATCAAATAATAGATATTCACACACTGAAGCCAGTGTGATGAGAGTCTTGCAGCACAAAGCAATTCATGGACTGAGAGCTTGTCATGTCTCAGTTGTTGCCTTCGTCATGCTCTGTTGTTCAGTTGCATCTCCTGTGATAACGCACAGGGGATTAGAAGGTAACAAGGCAGCAGCGCTCCTTTGAGGATGTTGCGCGTGGCTTTCAATGTCTCACACAATACTACATAAACGGAGGGGGGAGTACCAAATGGTGATTTCCCGGCTACACAGGGAGCCTCCTCCTGGATAATGTGGTAATGAAAGGTGACAGGAAGGACTCAGGGTCTGGAACGAAGCCGGGGCAGCTGGTCAGAGCAGGAGAATAGGAAGCAGTGTGCACCCGGGCTAAAGTGCAGTGAGAAGCAAATTAAAGCTCATATCTGCCATCTCCCTCGCCTCCCTGCACTTTCCTGTTTGGACTTGAAGGTGATT